CTTACATTCACTTTGCATTCCTGTGTAAGATATTAAGGAGTACAGTAACACCTCCCAATTCATGGGGGATCCATTCTGGACCCCACCCCAAAAATGGCAACTCGCAAATATTAGAGTCCCATTGAAAAGTTCCCCCCCATTTATCCCTCCCGCAAAGAGCGAGACTGCAGACTTCAAGTCTACAAATGGGGAGGGACGACTGTACATACCATATATGAATAAAATGAATGTAATATATTATATAGATTATAGCACATTGCAATCCTGCATAGGGAATTTTACTGAATATATACAGGAGATCCACACATTTCTGGAAGCTATAGCCAATGTGTAGAATTGCTGCATGATACATTTTACTGAGTGTGTGTGCCTTCAAGTGCCTTGTCGACCTATGCCAACCCCTTTAATTTCATGGGGTTTTCTTAGGCAAGGAATACTCAAGAGGTGGTTTGTCATTGTCCTTCTCTGAAATATAGCCTACAGAACCTGGTATTCATTGGCTGTCTCCCATCCAAGTTCTAAGCAGGGCTGACCCTGCTCAGCTTCCAAGATCAGACAGGATCTGGTGCTTTTAGGTTATTTAGGCCTACAATATACTGTACATATGGATTATGTTACAGTTGCTCCTCCGTTTTCGCAGGGTATCCATTCCAGACCCCCTCCTACGAAAACAGAAAACACCAATATTCAAGCACTATTGGCTTGAATGGCATCCCGCACCATGGGCGTCCTCAGGCACTCACAGGCATGTGTCCCTGGCACATGCCCCATTTTTATCCCCTCCATTTGCCCCCCCCCCCCCGCGAATGTGTGAGGGATGCGGACTCGAAGTCCATGAAAACGGAGGGGCAACGATACTGCATTCTATGTAGAAATTGCATAATATATGAACAAGCTCTTATGCTCATTGGGTTCATATTCTGGAATACCATGCCTGTGATTTTGGCAGAGTTGTACTACTTCTAAAGAGAAATAGATTATACTAAATGATGACACTACAGGAGCAGCACAGTTTAATTTCAACAAGTGAACTATACAGCATATCTTTTCTTACTAAAAGAAACCCACAAATCTATCTCTTATCAGTATAAATATTTAGGAGCTAGTATGGAGTATTTTTTTAAGTTGGAGTTACAATGCAGTCCTATAGAGATGTCTATTCAGAATTAATTCCAGTTGCAAATGAGTGAGTTCAATTATACCTACTTCCAGGTAAGTGAGTATAGGACATCTATCTCAGGTGTTAAAATTTTGGGGTACTGTTAATGTCACTTATAATCCTTCTAAACATTGCTGTTCCTTTAAAAATATTTTTGACAGTGCTTTTGAAGACATTGATGCAACTAGTGGTTATAGTCTGGACTTCATGTTCTTTAGGGAGGCCTTTCTGAAACTGAGACGTCTATTACTTGATTTATTCTGAATCTGATAATATAACACTATGTATTTGGGAACCCTCTTTCTCATTATGCAGAGTGGGCTTCTGCCCCAAAGTCCCATCCTGGTGGCACCACTGCTTTAACAATAATCATTTTGTAACCACTGTCTTCAGTGGCATTAACACCTCGGTTCTTGGACACATTTACTGGGAAGGAAGTCTTACTGATTTCAGGTGAAGAACTTTTTTTTCACATAACTGTATTTAGCAATATAGCTTAAAACCACTTAAAGGTGCTGTGTTTTGAGTTGTACTGCATAAACTGACAACTTTGCATATTTTACCAAATTCTTTCAAAATGTGAGTCATTTCTGTATTTTTAAAAGTTTTTTTCTGAGCTGTCTGAAGAGCACATCACACATAACTCTACGTCAGCAGTAACAGTAGGTCTTCTGCCATGAGCAGAGAAAAATAAGAGTAAAAACCCCAGCAGGACTATTGTCCAAAGTAAAAACAAACAAACAAAACTCTTCTTTCACCAGCGCTGCCACATCGTTCACAGCAATCCTTTCCTTATTACTGGAGTGTTTAATGTGCATGCCCTGGAAACTTAAAAAACAACAATATACCATTTGTAAGCAGCTCTGATAGCCTTTTGGCTGAAGCGCGGGGTATAAATACTCCAAAAAAATAAATAAAATAAATATTATCTAACTGCATAGGAATATAATGGAGTGGATCCAGGATCTGCCTTCTGTTAATGTAGTAGTGGACAAAGTATGGCTCTAGGATCACACACATCCCCCTCAAGCCTGTTTTTGCAGACCTTGACCCCTTCCTGATTCCTTAGGTGGCCTCTTTTCTGCCACCCAAAAAGTAAATTGTCTCTCCTAGAACCCTCAAGAAGTAGCATTTCCCATTCTAAATAGGTTCTTTCTCTACACAATTTAACATGAAAAAAAATCCAGACATTCCAGCTGTGTGTTGCTTGTCTTTTTTGATAGTCTATGCAGGCACCAGTGGATCCCAGAGGCAGAAAACTGACCCCCAGAGCTGTCACAATTGCTTACTCCACCCAACAGAAGGCCTCTACCTAAGGAAGATACATCCACCCAATTTTCAGGCATCCCTCCTGTAGCGTACACATCCAATATAGCAATGTCTTCTGAGCCTCAATGTAGCTTTTTTAGGCAGCTGGAGGAACTGTTACAAGGAAGAAGGCCCTATCACAGGCCTACGTCTGCATCCTACCCATTTTAGGGAAGCCCAGGTACAATACCTTACTTTCAAAACTGAAACCATCTACTGTATTTGTGCAGATCAATTGGTGGCTCGCATGCATAAATACAGCTCAAAACACCACGCGTACACGCTTACAATGCAATCCTTATTCAGCAATAGATTTTGATGAAGTCAATGGGATTTACTTCTGAAACCTCCCCCCAAAGAAACACACAACAGACCATCTGCCCACATGTCTCTCATGGGGTATAGGCACGTGGGAAGATACCCACAGCAATGAAAATTGTGTCATCCCTTGCAAATGTGTGTGAACTTAAAGGGAAGCACCTACACATATTTACGTGCTTCCAATATTTTATGTGTGCCTTTTGTTTACTGAATTTTGATGTATGGTTGTGTTATTGTTTGGTTAAAAATCAAATATTTTTTATTTATATTTTAATTCAATTCAAGGCATGGGTGGCTTTATTTTTTTAAAAAATAGGAATTACCTTTCTCCCCAGAAGACTGTCCAGTTCACTAAGGTTATCATCTAATGCTCTCAGGATGATCAGGTGTCATAACCCTAAAAGGAGGACAAGGCACCACAAAACATAGGACCATGTTGGTGATCCAATGGCATGCATGGCAGATATGGCACGCGAAGCCATTTTCCCTGGCATGCGGAACAGGGAAGAGGAGAAAACGGCATGCGCCTGTTCCTCCTCCTCCTGGCTGTCCCAGGCCTTCAGCTGCCTCCGGAGAGGCAGCTGAAGGCCCAGGAAGGTGTGAAACGTCCTGCCCCAGAAGTCCTGCCCCCATAGGATGGAAGTCCTGCCCCAGAAGTCCCGTTTCCCCTCCCCTGGAAGTCCCATGTTCAGCATGGGGAAACGCCCAATGCTAGAAGGCCATTTAGTTTGGGCACTCAGTGCCTAAAAGATTTGCTATCACTGGCATAGAATATTCAGGAAAAATGGAGGACATGACTAAATAAAAGCTAAAAAAATTCATAGAAATATAAATTCATGCTCCTTAGTCATGGAATTCCTCCTGGACAGAAAGCTGAAACGTAGGACATATTGTGGAGAAGGAAAATGTCTGGTCACCCTTAATGCTCTTTTTCCCATGTTCTTCCTTCCTGGTGACCAGGAAGAGGACCTTTGGCTTTGATACCCCAAATTTAGAATGCTGTTCTCAGAGGGGCTTCTATAATAGCTATTATAGTATCTTGTCAGGCAAAGAGCTTTTTATCTTCGATCCTTTATGGATCTTTTATTTAAGCCTCTGTCATTGGGCCTTTGCAGACTGCTAGAAATAGTGCAAATTGAGTCCACTTTAACTGCCCTGGCTCAGTGCTAGGGAATCATGGGAACTGTATTTTTTTCTGAGACATTGAGCCTTCTCTGTCAGAGAGCTCTGGTCCCACAATAAACTACAGTTCCCATGATTCCCTAGCACTGAGTCAGGGCAGTTAAAGTGAACTCAATTTGCACTATTTCTGGCAGTCTGTGGACCTTTGCAGACTGCCAGAAATAGTGCACATTAAATTGAGGCACTGCCCTGGCTCATTGCTAGGGAGTCATGGGAATTGTATTTTTTTCTGAGACATTGAGCCTTCTCCGTCAGAGAGCTCTGGTGCCACAATAAATTACAGTTCCCATGATTCCCTAGCACTGAGCCAGGGCAGTGCCTCAATTTAATGTGCACTATTTCTGGCAGTCTGCAAAGGCCCTGTGTGTTACTGGCTAATTCTGCTTTATGCACTTTTTTGCTTTTTGGTTCATTTTTGCTATTTAGTAGTATGATTTTTGTCCTTTCTGTTGTAGTTAGCCATGGTGAGAGAATTCAAACTGAAGGTTGCAGGATATGTCTTTAATAATAAACGTAAATTGAAATTCTGGTGAACATGCTATGAATTCAGTTCATGAATGTCTTATACATGGGTCTCATAAGCATGTGCCACAGACTCACAAAGAGGTTAATATGCATAATACAACAGGGCTAATCTAAGCAACCCTCCAGATGTTGCACTGCAATTCCCACCATTTTTGCTCTTGGCTAGCTCTCAATGGGATTTGCTGTGCAAGAACTGGAGGGCCACATAAGACGTTACCCATAGATGATTTAGATTCTAAATTGCAAAACTTCAGAGTGCCTAGCTGTGGACATGTGTGGCATAGTGGGTTGAGTGTTGGACAATGACTCTGGAGACCAGGGTTTGATTCCCCATTCTGCCATAAAACCCACTGGGTGGCCTTGGCCAAGTCATACTCTCTCATCCTCAGAGGATGGCAATAGCAAACCCCCTCTGAACAAATCTTGCCAAGAAAACCCTATGATAGGGTCGCCATAAGTTGGAAACGACTTGAAGGCACACAACAAACAAGTCTTGGACATGAGAGCCAGTGTGATGTAGTGGTTTCAGCATTAGACTACGACTCTGGAGATCAGGGTTTGATTCCCCATTTGGGCATAAAAACCCATTGGGTAACCTTGGGCAAGTCACAGTTTCTCAACCGCAGAGGATGGGAATGGCAACCCCCCTCCCCAGAATTTTGTGAAGAAAACCCTATGGATGTTATCACACGGGGGCAAATCTGCTGGTTAATCCACAC